CGTTAAAGAGTTCCCTCGAGACATGCCTCCTCTAGAGGAGATCGATCTTACCTCAGTCCCTGCCGAATACCGCGACCTGGCGGCCGTCTTTAGTAAGCAACGCGCCTTGTCACTTTCTCCTCACCGTCCCTATGACTGCGCGATTGACTTATTACCTAGCGCCCCCTTGCCGTCAAGTAGGCTCTACAACCTTTCTGGTCCCGAGAGAGAGTCTATGTCTGACTATATTAATGAATCTCTTGCCTCAGGCATTATTAGACCCTCGACCTCCCCTGTGGGAGCGGGTTTTTTCTTTGTTTCCAAAAAGGATAAATCACTCTGGCCATGTATAGACTATCGCGGCTTAAATAATATAACCATTAAGAATAAATATCCTCTTCCTCTCATTGATTCTTTTCAGGAACAGTTACAGTCTGCTTCCTGTTTTTCTAAACTCGATCTTCGAAACGCGTACCACCTCATCCGTATTAAAGAGGGCGACGAGTGGAAGACCGCCTTTCGCACTCCTTTGGGCCATTTCGAGTACTTAGTTATGCCTTTTGGGTTAACCAATGCCCCCGCTGTTTTTCAGGCGCTCGTTAATGACGCCTGCTCGACTTTATTGGTAATTTTGTTTTTGTTTATTTAGATGACATCCTTATTTATTCCCGCGACCCCGCTCAACACACGGCCCACGTTCGCACGGTTCTTCAGCGGATGCTGGAGAACCAATTATTCGTTAAAGCAGAGAAGTGTGAGTTTAACACCTCCACTGTCTCATTTTTAGGTTTTATTTTTGAGGGAGGTCGTTGCCGAACCGACCCTGAGAAGACCAGGGCGGTACTTGACTGGCCGACCCCCGAGTCCAGGAAGCAGTTACAACGCTTCCTGGGTTTTGCGAATTTCTATAGGCGGTTTATTAAGAATTACAGTCGTGTCGCCAACCCCCCTGTCTCAGCTCACTTCAACCGCCCCCGAGCCTTTCACTGGACCCCGGAGGCTGAAGCCGCCTTCTCAAGACTTAAGTCCCTCTTTTCCTCGGCGCCCATCCTCTGCCACCCTGACCCCGCGCACCAGTTCATCTTGGAGGTGGACGCCTCTGACACTGGGGTTGGGGCGGTCCTTTCCCAGCGATCTCCTCTGGACAACAAGGTCCATCCCTGCGCCTTCTTCTCTCGTCGTCTCTCTCAGGCAGAACGTAATTACGACGTGGGCAACCGTGAGCTATTGGCGGTCAAACTCGCACTCGAGGAATGGCGGCACTGGCTGGAAGGCACTGAGACTCCTTTTTTGATTTGGACTTACCACAAAAACTTAATTTACCTTCGGAACGCCAAGCGTCTGACCCCTGTCAGGCCCGTTGGTCGCTTTTCTTTAACCGCTTCTATTTTGTTCTGACCTTTCGCCCGGGCTCCAAGAACATTAAGCCTGATGCCCTGTCCAGGCAGTTTGCCCCTCCTGACTCGCCCGAGGCTTCTGACTCCATTATCCCTTCCTCTTGCATCCTTGGTTCTCTCTCTTGGCCCATCACCGCCACCGTTCAACAGGCCCTCCTCTCTGAACCTGATCCAGGTGGTGGTCCCCCCGGCACCCTCTTCGTTCCCTCCAGCGTGCGGTCCCAGGTGCTCCAATGGCTACATTCCAATAAACTTTCTTGCCATCCTGGAGTCAACCGCATGCTCTCCCTCACCAAAACCCATTTCTGGTGGCCCTCTATGAACAACGATATCAAGGACTTCGTTTCTGCCTGCCCTGTCTGCGCCAGAAACAAGTCAGGTACTCAACCCCCGGCTGGCCCTCTGCTCCCCCTCCCGACCCCTAGTCGCCCTTGGTCCCACATCGCCCTTGATTTTGTTACTGGTCTTCCTCCATCTGAAGGCAACACCACCATCCTCACGATGGTCGACCGCTTTTCTAAGGCCGCTCATTTTGTCCCCCTCCCTAAGCTCCCCTCTGCCCTTGAAACTGCCCACTTACTCACCCTCCATGTGTTTAGGCTCCATGGGATTCCATCGGACATAGTCTCTGACCGAGGCCCGCAGTTCATCTCCCAGGTCTGGCACTCCTTTTGCAAGTCGCTCGGGACGTCCGTTAGCCTCACCTCTGGTTACCATCCTCAGGCTAACGTACAAGCCGAGCGCTGCAATCAGGAGCTGGAGTCCACACTGCGTTGCCTGGTCGAGTCCAATCCTTCGTCCTGGAGCCAGCACTTGGTTTGGGTGGAGTATGCCCACAACTCCCTCCGCTCCTCTGCCACCGGCATGTCCACTTTTGAGGCCTCCCTTGGTTACCATCCTCCCTTGTTTCCAGATTCCGAGACAGACTGTTCTGTCCCATCCGTCCAGCATCATTTTAGGCGTTGCCGTCGCATCTGGCGCCAGGCCAAGGCGGCCCTCCTTAGGACATCAGCCCAGGCAAAACGGTTCGCTGACCGCCACCGTTCGGAGACGCCCGCCTACCAGGTCGGCCAGCAGGTTTGGCTGTCCACCAAGGACATCAAGCTGCGGGACACCCCTCGCAAACTGGCTCCCCGCTTCATTGGTCCCTTCCCCATCACCCGCATTATCAACCCCTCTGCGGTCCGCCTCCAGCTTCCCAGGGCCATGCGTATCCACCCAACGTTTCACGTCTCGCAGGTTAAGCTTGTCTCCCTCAGTCCCCTGTGTCCTCCAACTGACCTCCCTCCGCCACCCCGCCTGATCGACAACCACCCTGCGTTCTCCGTCCGTTCCATCTTGGACGTGAGATGCAGGGGTAGGGGCTTCCAATACCTGGTCGATTGGGAGGGGTACAGTCCTGAGGAGAGGTCGTGGATCCCCAGGTCCTTCATCCTTGATCCTAGCCTTATTTCCAGGTTCTACAGAGACCACCCCGAGAAGTGCCTCAGGTCGCCAGGAGGCGATTCTTGAGGGGGGGGGGGGGTAATGTAAGGATCCCACTGCCTGCAGCCTGCCTTGCTGATGGCCGCTGATTACCAACACCTGGCGGCCATCAGCCTGATGAGCCTCTCCATCTACTTAAGGCTGCAGTCCGGTGTGACTCAACGCTGGAGCATATCACCTCTTATGGTATAGTACTGTTGTGAGGCAAATGTCTTGGTGAAAAGAATTGTTCACCTTTTGCTCTTTTTTCCAGTTTCCTGGTTCCTCGTGCTTTTTGGATTCCCTCGTGACCTGATCTGGATCCCTTGGCCTGTCAGGTATTCCTCGTGCCTCTTTGCCTCCAGTTGCCAGCCTTCCTCGTTCCTCTTTGGACCCTTGTTGGATTTCCCTCTGCTGCTCGCTCTCCTTGGACTGAAGGACCAGCTCTCCTCCTCGGGTTTGGACTGTAAGGACAAACGCTCATTAAAACAAACCACTCTGGCCTTCCCCGTTGGACAACTATTAACCTGTCGTCCCTCTTTCCAGGAGCCTCTGTGAAGCAGCTTGTGGACGCTTTAATATCACTGTACATAATAAACACTGTTCTTTTGTATTTCCCCTGTGTCTGCCTCGTTCTGGGTCTCATAACATCTGGGTTCCCCGCGCACTCCTAACAGTTTGTAACGTATCAAATATGAAAACCAAGCAGTTTGTCACGGCAAAATGTTTTTACTTTATTTTAGAGAGATACTTCCAAACCCAAAACTACAATCATGACTGAATAACAACAAATTCAAAATATACATGTTTTTTCTGAAATGTTACAAGAAGCAGCCGCTTGAACTGGAACAGGTTGTGTCCTGAAGCTGCTCAGCAGTCCACGTTCAGTCAGGTCTCCTGAACACGTTCTTCTTTGTTGAAACATTTCATCTTTATCCAGAACACATTCAGTGTGACGAGCGCAACAGCTCAGTGAAGAAGCACCTTCTCATAGTGCAGAAACCAGTTACTGCCACAAACTGGTATTCACATGCAGGAGGAGGACATGAGCCGAACGCTCGTCACTGGTGCTGCTCGTCACTGGTGCTGCTCGCTACTCACCGGGAGCTCAGTGGCTCTTCCATGTTCCTGATGGAGAGCGAGGGACACCAACTACCACACGCTTGCAGTGCTGTTTGTTACTTCATCACTCAGCCCTCTGTGAATAACAAGCAGCCTAACGAACAACTATTAGGCTCATGTCTTCTTTTTACCTGTGAATGGTTTTTCTGGCTGAATATCAACGAACACATCGTTCCAGTGTCTGCCTCAGGAAAAGCCCCATCCACTCTGGAATGTAACATTTTGCTTTGGCTATTTGATGTAAAAACTGGTTTTGACAACTGAGGATACTTCAAAGATAAGAGGGGAGGATATCGAGGACAATGAAAACGTTATTTAAAAACTATTTCCTTTAAATATGGAAAAGACCATCTCAAACTGCTCATAGAGAGCAGAGCTTTTTTGAGGGTCAGACTGATTTATGAACGGGATGTGAGTAAAGAGACACTTTTTCTAACAACAACAACAACAACAACAACAACAACAACAACAACAACAACAACGTTTGAAAGAAGTGTCCATGACACTGACCATGAGATTAACAACACAGTTAAAAGTATGAAAAGGAACTTGTGGTTTGTGACTATATACAGCAATCATTTTGGACATAAAAGCAGATTCAGCTGCTTTCACAGCCTTCTGATTCTGTTAAGCAGTGAACCCTGCTCCAGTGCTGCGAGCCTTGCTGCTCTTCCACTTGGTTCAGCACTTTGGCTGGCCTTGTTGCTGTTTTAAGTGCTATATAAATAAATTGGTATGGTATGGTCTCTTGAACACATACAACATCTACCTTCCTTCTCAGCATCATGCCAGCCAGCTCTCTACCTTTGCCTGTCGTTGTCCCCACATTTAGAGCTGCAACCCTCAGTCCTACATTCTTCACTTTCCTCCTCTCCTGTCTGCTGACACTCCCTCCTCGTGCTCTTCCACTAACAGTGCCTGGTGTCGTGAACAGCGGAACCGCAGACACAAAGGTGCCGTTTCACACAAAATACGCGCCGTGTAAACAGCCCCAGTAAGTCCAGCCCAGAACCCATTTGCAGACGAACCGAGCCTTACTTCATGGTGATCCTCCACGATCCAAACGGGCAGCTTCTGGTAGAACCTTTTCCTCGGAGCAGAGCTCATGGTGACCGATGGTTCCGTCCAATTACAGAAAATAACCTGCTCTGAGCTGCACCGTTGGTGACGTCAGTCATACGGAAGTACAACTTCAGCCTCACCGGAAGTAAACCCGCGCCGCGTTGAGCGGCCTGGCCCGTGTCTTTAGCATAGATATCATATATAAACACATAAATATCTATACACATAAAATACAATGTATGTATAATGTATGACCTGTTTATATGATATCTGTGGGCTTGCCCGTGTGGGTACCCCATAGATTTCATATATTCACTAGACCCCTCATTGGCTGCTGCGGCGCGGGAATTTCGGCCGCCATCTTGGAGAGGTCGTCCTTTTTATTTGGTTAAATCAGATGTTTCAGCACTTCGCAGCTTATTTCTGTTCAGATCGACGGACTGTTGACGTCAGGTCTCGGGGGATAACTTTTCACAGTAAGATGAACATATCATTGTTAGTATTTTGTGAATATAATATTACTGTACTGTATTTATGTCCACCAGTTGATGTGATGTTCAGTGTAACACGGTGTTCAGCTGTAGTGGAACCAGAGCCCTGTAGAGAGAGCTGCGACACTCTTTGAACTCGCCGATACGTGGTCACGTGGTTCATGCAGCTCCAATAGTTCCAAACAGTTCATCCTGTCAGTCAGTCTGAGGCTGCTGGTGCAACACAACACAAAAATTCACTTTTCTTACTTTACCTGTGTCTTTCAGTAATTATTGATCAGTAACGAACTGATTACTGATTATTTCACAGACTATGCATTTTATCAAAGCGTTTTTAGAAGCGGCTGATACATTTATCATTAACTTTTAGAAGGAAACGAGACTGCAAACACATATTTGTTAGATAAAAATGTATATGCAATACAGTGATCAATATAGCCATATCAGTGTTTTATAACGTTAATAAAAGATCAGAGTAACTCCTGTTATAAAGTTATTCTGATGTTCTCTGCAGGATAATGCTCCACCTTGTCCTCCATGCAGCAGTTCAGATCTGCTCCAGCTTACCTCAGAACATCTGGATGAATTCTTGATTTCTATCGAAGATATTAATTCAACCTTTATTTAAACAGGTTCGTCCCATTGAGCCACGAGGACTCATTTACAAGAGAGACTGAATATAATTGTTGTATTTGTTGTTTTTTTATGTCAACCAAGTACCTGATAACTGAGTTGATTGTAGCCTGACAACTATTGTAAAACTGTAATTCATTGATTAAAATGTTCATTTAAATGAAACTGTTTCTAGTTAAAATCATAACAGATGACAAAATAAGTGTTAACTGTGCAAAAATAAATTTCCAAACAATTTATTATAAAATATGTAAAATGTAAAGCAAGCTTTAATAAAGTACTTTTACTGACATTTATACTGTTTATTAATGGCATCATCATCATCATCATCACCATCATCATCATCACAACAACACAAAGTGAGAGCTGTAAATTTAATCTGCACAAACATTTTCAATCAGGGCTCAAAATGTTGAACTGTCAAAGAAATGTACAAGAAAATAAACTGATGTCACTCTACAGGCACATTTAGAGAGAGGACGAGTGAGACAGAGACACAGTGAGGACAGTTCACCGAGACACAGTGAGGA